TGACCACCCCATGCTGTCCCGTGGCCACGTATGAGATCCACAGTACTTAAAGGAATTCTAGAACCACACCACTGACTTCCCTGGGTAGATATTCTGCATGTGTTACCTATTACCCTGTTCAGGCAGGCTCAGGAGTTGATAATACTATCACCAACGTCAATGGAGCCCTTCATGTGCCAGAACGTTCCATGATTATTTAAGACTGGAAATGAGCCTGTTTTCATCTCCATCTTCCAGATGAGGAAATGTCAAAGTTCAGAGAATGTTCCCAGCATCATTCAGCTGCTCAATACTGATGGATTCCAGAGCTCTGGCCTGTGTCTTCCGTCTCTGGGATACCTTGCTTCCCTGGGATGCCTTGATTCCCTGGGGTGCCTTCCTTCCCTGGGGTGCTTTGCCTTCCTTACCTGAGGTGGAGCCTTTGTCAACCAGAGTCTCAGGGTATAAGGTGCAATTCTTGTGTCTCTGTTCCTTGGTGGTCAGAGCATAGCACACAGTCAGGCCTCTGGACCATTTGAGACACTGATTGTGTGGGATGTGAATGATCTCTTCTGGCAAAAGCCAAGATGGATGAGAGAAATGACTGAAGCAGGAGTTTGGCTGGAGTTAGACAGGTAAGTATCCGGGATCTGACAAGTAATTCCCACAAGGGGAGATATTTATGAAGTCAAGATGGAATCCTCCTCCTAGCCTCCCCCAACTTTATTTGGAAAAAGCTGTCATCTTCTAGAATGCCCCCCCCCACTTTTACCTAGCCATTCAGCAATATAGATGATCTACTTCACTTCAGAAAACCTTTCTTTTCAAGTGTGGAAGACACACTGGAGCAAGAGGCCACATGTTCCGACGATAGCGGTCACTCAGTGCTCCTCAATTATACAGCTTAGTAATATCCCAGAACTGCCTTATGTGGGCAGAATAATTAGAGTATGAGCTAACCAAGAAGTCTGATGCTGCTGGAATCTCCCTGGCCTCCCAGATCATGGGGTTGTTGGGGACTTTCAGGGCTCCAGTGGCTTTATGGTGATTTTATATCACATGAATCCAGATGTTCAGAGTTAGGATCCTATTCTTGTTGCCCGAGGATTAGAAAGCAGGAACGATCTGAATTCTGCCTTCTACAGATCTTGGAGGCCATCATCTCCCCAATTCTCTTTTCTTTCCCCTTTGTGGGCCTCATGAACGAGCTATAAGGAAATCTCGCTGTCATTCCCACTCTTTCCTGGAGGTGGAGGATTGTGCCTAACCCTGGGATTTGAGAGTCATCTCCAGAAGACTCCACGTACCTTATTTGTAGTCTGGGCAAGTCCCTTCATTTAGCCAGCCCTGGGTAATTATTGGGAACTATCCTCTCTCACTAGGTTGTTGCCAGGTGCGTGGGCGTGGCCTAGAGCCAGCCTCTGTCTCCAGCTGGAAATCTAGCCACAGAAGTAAGCCCAGGTTACTTCTTTTCCCTGGTTCTGGTTTTACTTTTATGCCATGGAAAAGGGAAGAGCTGTTTTTAACTCTCTGCTGCTTGGTTTCTGCAGAGGATACAGAAGAACCATGCTGGGTTCAAGGAGTGTTCAGTTCTGTTTAATTCTTGTCCTACTTTAGCTTTGATTTCTAGTTAGGTAGGGGTTTACCTCTGGAATTGCTTCTTCTGTTAGGTGTCTCACTCTGTCTATAAAGAGTGCTTGTGAAATTCTTCATTCAGCAGATGTTTGTGTTCAAGGCATTAAGAATACAACAATGACTGAAAAAAATTCTCTCTGTGTGTAGGGATTCTAGTAGGATGAGAAAAAATAAACAAGACAAATGTGTGATTTTATAATCACACTTAGTAAGTAATATGTGACTACTGTTCATGAGAAAAAATAAAGCAGGGAAGTATTCATGGAGGGAGAGAAGACAAATCAGAGAGAGAGTAAGAGCTCAGTAGTGTTGTATGCCTTTCGATCGGTTACATGACTTCTTTACATTGCTTTACTTCATTTTATTTTAAAAGGGCAGATATCTTTTGGAAGGATCTAGGACCTAGCACTAAATATGCAGAAAGAGATCAAGAAATATGTTTTTGAAGCAGAACATCAAAATAACTTACCTGATAATGTCTGATATACTTGAATTCCTATTCCTTTGTTCTTGACAGGATTCATGGAATATTCCAGCACACTTCAGTGCCCTCAGTGGGCCTTGACTGTTCTTGGTTTGCTCAGGCTGTAATTTCAACAGGGGAATATTCCACATACTTTTTTTTTTCTTTAAATAACACTGAAAGAACTGTTATATAATAAATCTATCCATCCAAAAAAATCCTGAGGAAAAGCAGAGAACTTTGGGTTTTTCTTTTCTTCTTCCTCTCTCTATCCGGCCCCTCCCCCTCCTGTTCCCCCTTCCTCCTCCTCTTCCTCCTCCTCCTCCTCC